GTTTTAGTCGTCGTGTGGCGCCTCAAAATAAAGGTTTCAACTGGGTTCCTGTATGTTGCATCACTACGGTTCCGTACATCACTGATGATCACCTTAAAAACATCTACAGAAGTGTCACTATAGACTTGCCTTTCAGCCCACACCCAATGACATCATAATATAAGCTGATGTGATATTATTAATTATTTTCATTTTATATTTGAGGATCATATTCTTTCATGTTTAGATGACGCAAATTACATTCCGTTGTTTAATAATTGCGTAGACATGTTTTTATGTCGATAGCTTCCGATTGGCTGTTGGAGTAAGGGACAGCAGCAAGTGATTTAGTTGCCGAGAAGAGTGTTTTCGATCGTACTGCGGTGCACACCTTTAGAAATAAAGCTACGTTCAAACGGAGTCCATCACTCCTTTTGCGGTTATTTAAAGTGGAGCAATCTATTCATAAACAACGAACCGCTCAATTTACAATACATTTGAAGCCTTGTACGCCCGCGCATATGGCCCAACCCCATTTTACATACGCAGAGATCAAGTCTGTTCAAAGTGTTACCTTTGACCCTTACCCGACATCTTAAAAACAACAGCGAAATCCAAAACATAACACCATGAAGAAAATAACTAATACTTAAGATGTGTTATTTGATGGAACATTCTTTTATGTCTGCCTACTTGTTTAACATCGATATTATGACAAAGAGCAAACAAATTAAGAGTAAAAGACAAAAAGAAACACTTGTGCATTTTGAAACAGGAACAAATGGATCACTGTTTTGAAGCTAGTTACAGAGCCGTAAACAATTGCCTGGGGCGGTGGTTCTTGAACTTTTTACTAGAAGTACCACTAAAATAAATACCTAGCTCGCCTAGTCCCACCATCACAACCAAAATTAAACAACAGTATCGTACTAAGCCCAAGTGTTCATAAATAATGCAGCACCGGTTTTATTCATAATTAATATTTAAAGAAGTCAACTTTTTTAAAAAGAGGCCCGCTAATCCAAAGACAGTATTTCTTGATTAATATTGCATTTGTGGAGTATGAATTAAGCAGAAAAATCCACCCATTTCTCAGAGGGTGTGCATTTTATTTTGTGCAATGAAGCACTTTGTTTTTCTTGTTCCCCCCCAATTTTGCTGCTGTAGACTGCAAATTTCCCCAGTGTGGGACAAATAAAGGTTACCTTATCTTATTTTATTTTTCCACTGTCTTGTCAACTGAAAATTAAAATAACAGTTGCTCAGGTAACGACCAATCACGAGCCACAGGAGTTTAGAGTGTTCAATCGGCCTTCCATGCACGTATTTGGAATGTGGGAGGAAACCGGAGTACCCCGATAAAAAACCCAGACAGGCCCGGGGAGAACATGCAAACTCCACATAGTGAGGCCGGAGCTCGAATTGAACCCAGTACCTCTGCACTGTGAAGTCTATGTGCTAACCACTGGACTACCGGGCCGCCCACATAAAAGTTCAAAAATAAAAACAATGAAAAAAAACTGGGCGGCAGGGTCGGAGGAGGGTCTGTTTGGGAAGTTGAATCTCAGATTCAGGAAAAGCGACGGGGTCAGCAGAGTCCCCAAAGGGCACGGGAGTTTGTCCAACCAGTTTTATGTGCTTTCTAGACATGACCGTTCAATCATGTCCCTCGGGGGATCTTGTGAGGGGATGCTTTGGCAGCATGATTTACCAGACACCCGAGTGCGGACGGTAACGTACCTTTTTGGAAGCAAGTGGGCCTGGAAAGCCCGCTCTCCACCGTGGCTTGGCCCCGGTTTAAAACAAACCGCGCAATCAAGTTATGCATTTGCTGTGACGTACCTGGATACTTTGTGAGCAACGTCATCAGGGTTTGTTAACGTAATTCAGCATTAAATCAGTTAAAAACGAAACATAGAGTCATTAACCCTTTCAGGTGACAGCGTTTGCTACAGCTTATCAGGTTATCAGGTTACAGGTTATAATTATTTGTGCATGAAAGGGTTAAAACCCCAGCAGCTTGACGGCACTAAGAAGAGGTGGGTTTTGTTTTTTTTCTGATGTAATATGTGCATTTGCGGGTTAGTTCTGGCCATCACAGTCGCAAGCACACATCCCCTGCAGCGTCCCCCAATCAGTGAGTACGTTTCAGCACGAGACAGCTGCACCCCGTCGACGACTACATTTCAGTGCATGACAACCACAATCCCTCCCCCCCGCCAGTTCAAGTGATGGCCGCCATCAACGACTATTCCCGGGATGAATTTTGGTCCCAGCAAGTCCCAGGCGACGAGTCTGGATTTCCAGGACAACTGCTCCCACCAATTGACGCTGGATAAGCAGAAGAAAATGGATGGATGGATGCTTCAAGATAATTATTGTGAACGTGTGCAAAGAGTCTTTGCAGACTGAGATCAAATAGTGATCTGACTGACATCGTGCCATCATGACCTGCCGCTCAGACGTAAGGTGGCTCATTCTAGCCAAGCAGTTACCTACATTGGTGCTGACCAGAGTGAGCATTCCTCCACTATCGATGGCGGCAGATGATACAGTCAGATCTTTCTAATGAACAAAGTAAAAGGTGCGCCTTGGTCCAACAAAGGTTGGTGTTCAGTACTGCAACAAGCACCACTGTCTCTGTCCTCTTTTACATCCAATTTTGTGACGACTGGAGTCAGGTAAGATTTCAGCCATTGCGCCGCCAATGCTGAGTGCTCACTGGCATCATTTCTCCTTTCATACAAATGACACTGGATTCATTTCTCCTTTCACACAAATGACCGAACGTTAACTTCAACTTGAACTTTATGGACAACAGTCTTCTAAATATTTCCTGACCCACCACGGACCATGCCCGTTTGAATACTTTTCCTTAACGTCTGTACAGCACATTGTGTCCTATCCGAGTGGCCTACTGTTTCCTTTGCATGAGTGCCCCCTCTCTTTGATATTTCCCAACATCTTCCCGCGGTATCTGCTACATGCAATATATTCAGCGTGTGCACCAGAGGACACCGCTGAAATATTTAAAATGGTCTTCCATTGTGTCTACAATCCATCTGGAGCTGTCCCGGCCAACTTTGCGTGCATGTTTTCAGAATGTGAGAGGGAGCCAGATGCACAGGAAAAACATGCAAACTCCACATAATAGAGCCTTTGCTGGATGTCAAACCCAGAACCTAGACTGTGAGGCAGATACGCAAAGCCTTTCGGCACAGTACTGTACCTGGATAGCATTTCAGTAATTTATTCAAGTGTGAATTGGTACGGTGCGCTTGAGAACAGACCACTTCCGCATTTTATTCTGGTTTCCCAACACATCAGCGTCTTATGAATCAGTCCTTCCACTCTGTCATTGGACAAATAAGGACAGACTAGCATTCACATTGTTATTGTGTTTCACAGACAAATATATTTTTATTGTTATATGGCACTTCTCCTCAAAAGCAGTGCTATTCCAAGATGTTTTATGTTTGATTGATGGCCAGTCGTATCTGCAACAGCCAAGCACGGGCCTACTGAAAATAAAGTTTGGTACGCAAGCTAATGTGCGCCGACCATGTTTTGTGTTTGCGTGCGAGCATCCTGCGCATTTTGAATCTGCAAGTTTTTGGGGGTGGCGTTGTGTTTTGTGGCAAGACATGTCTGTAAAATATTAAAAAGTGTTTGTAAATAAGGAAGGCCAAGAACAATATCATTGCCGCATGTGGGACAGAGAGGGAAACATAACACGGCCAGCTTCCTTGACCGGCCGGGACTGAGACAAAAAAAGGAGCAGGTTTAGCAAGTTGGGAGCAAGGAAGTTGGAGTATTTTGAGTGGATTGAATTGTTTACAACTGCTGAACTGTCACCCAAGACAGCAGCCAACACAACCATCGCTCACCAAATTGACTATCAATGTTCAAACTTTTTTTTTTTATGTTGGAGGAGAAGAGCTCTTCCTCCTGTCTGCTCAAAAGTAACCCTGGTGTAGAACAAACACGCAAGACAAGCAGTGTGTTGCAATTTTTCACCTTTGGTCTGAATGAACCATAAAATTCATTATGAGCGTAGAAAAAAATCTTACAAAACTTCAATCACTCACCAAAATGAATGTGGACATCTCAACTTATGTCCACATCAACCTCTAAAAATATCACCTCGAGATTTAGTATTTTATGAACAAAGCATTGATCTTAGTAAGTGGCGTAGGCTTTGTTGTGAGTGCTTCTATGAAAAGGAAAATACCATCCTCATAAAATCCGTAATACTTGGGCGATCCTTCGAATATTTTCAGAGCGTGATATGAACATAAGTCGAGATGTCAGTTCTGGATGTACTGCACGGCAGCTGTCACGTTGCAAGGTGGTGGTGGACCCCAAAAAGCAGGCAGGAGGAAGGAGCAGGGTGTACTTGAAAGATTGTATTAAAACTCAGAGAAAACGAAATCCAAAACAAAGTCCAAAGTATCAAACAAAACACATGACTGAAGATAAAACATAACACTGACCAAAACATGACCGAAACAAACCTGACAGCAGCAGACAAACGGCAACAAACAAACATGACAGTAGCAAAGAGCAACAATGACCCGACAATGAGTGGTTGGGCTGGGAGTCCTTTTAAAGCACTAATTACCTAATGACCAACAGGTGTGCAGCTGCAGGGGAAGCCCTACAGTGCCACCTGTTGGTCCCAAACCGAATCATGACAGCAGCTGTCTTGGAGCTCATTTCGAGCGCTATGATTTTATCTTCTGCAATATTTATTTTAGTGAAACATGATTTTAATGTGTTTTACCAATGTCCATACTTTTTCATGTAAATCCAACAGACTCCTTTTTTTTTCAGTGTGTACCTCTCCTGCGGTGAATTTAAAGCGAATGAGAGGAGCTTCTTCTATTGGGCAGGAAGCATGTCGGCTGTGTTCCCTCCCACATTAGGGCAAACGTCTGTTTCAAACCACGCTGCTCCACGAAAATACCAAAACTGTGAGACTGCACTTTGTGCTAGAGTTGCACTGGGCAGAAAATTCAGGCCCTGAGACTTTGTCTGCATCTGTGTTCAGGTGGACAGCATTAGACACCTTGATGAGAGCAGGCTTTTCACATTCCAGATGCGGCGAGAAATTAACTGTTGTTGTTTTGCTTTATTCCGTGCTGAACGAGCTCACTCATAGATTTTTCACCCGATGTTTAGAAAGAGGAAATAAGACAGCGCTGAAAAGCCCCATGAGGCACAGCACAGTCCTCAGTATGAAGAGAAGGGGAAGTGTAAGCAGCAGCTGAGTTCTCAAAAACAACAGCAAAAACAAAAATAAGAATTGATCACTGTCTTCTAAAAAAAAAAAGGTAAGCGTCTGTTTGTCTTTTTTAGACTATGAATTCAAGTGTCACATTGTTTGTGCGAGACTAAGCTACAGTCGTCTTAATCATAAGAAATGTTAAAATTATCATTGTCATTTTCGATGTGTTGTATACTCACTTGATATTTCGAAAGAAAATGAACACTCCAGCATGTACAGTCATCAAAGTCATTTTCAAAGTCATGCTGAAATGGTCGCAATCGTGACCAAAATATTTCTAATATTATCGTGCAAGTTGTGATTATGATATATTCTTCCTATTTATTATTTCATACTTTGTTCTAATGTTGTCAAAATTCAAATCATACATTCTATTTAGAATAACAACAATGCATTGGCTTTTTAGACAATTTTTCTTGAAGATTTGTCTAAGTTTGGCACTAATTTTTACCTCAACTAATTGTAATAATTATAATACGAATGATAATTTGACATTTGTGGATCTTCACATTTGACCAAATCTTTTCAATATTAACTTGGGTCTAATCAGTAAAATCGAAGACTAAATGTCCGAAATCCTTTTGAAACACAATGTCTCTTTGTCTCTTGGTGAAAGACAGGAAATGAGATGAGCTAGAATCACTACCCCGCCACCCCCACCCCTCCAAGTGTCACTGTCGATTTGTGAAGACCAACTCAGCTTATAACACAAAACACTGCTTCTCTCTTTTTCTATTTGCATTTTCACAATCTTTGTGACGTGTTTTAACAGAACCTCGCCACGATGACCCACGGATGCCTCAAGTGTTTAAAGTACACCATGTGTGTCGCCAACTTTCTTTGTTTTGTACGTATGTCTCTGATTCATTTGTTCTGATGCCATGATGCCATAAACGTGTCAAATGCAATCACAAAAACAACTTACCAAAGTTCATTATATTATTATTTAGTCATTTTCATTAGCAGTACGTTTGTACCCAAACCATTTCGATACGAAATGACTAAACTAAATTTGCACCATTTTTGTTTAGAACTCAGTATTACGGGTACAGTGGAACTTCAATGGAAATGCAACTCAGCAATTCCAGAGTGCAACTCTCATCAACACAAATGCTTATTTACTGTACTTTTTTTTGCCGAAGGACCATTCAACAACATGCCAAACACTGTAGGACCTACAATGTTTTTAGACCTACAGTGTAAAAACATTCAAACATGAAACCTACACACCCTTAACATTAATGATGAGAGACGGAGCTAAAACTGCTTCAAGGGGGCGCATGGTAGACAGGAAATGTGACTCCTGTATGGAATTTGCATGTTCTCCCTGTGCCAGCGTGGATTTTCTCCGGGTACTCTGGTTTCCTCCCACACTCCAAAAACATGCATGGCAGATTAATTGATCACTCAAAATTGTCCGTAAGTGTGACTGTGAGTGTGAAGGGTTGTTCGCCTCTGTGTGCCCTGTGATTGGTTGGCCACCAGTTCAGGGTGTCCCCCCCTCCCACCCACTTACTGCCCGAAATCGGCTGGGATAGGCTCTAGTACGCCCACGAGCCTCGTGAGGATAAGCCGAGTAGAAAATGGATGGATGGAAGTGGACGCTCCCTCTGGTGACTATATAGAAAAAAGTGGCAGTGAGAAAACTCATAAAAACGTAGTTTTGTAGTTTTAAAAATAGGAATTGTGCTGGGATTTGAAGGTTCAAAAAAGCAAAATTGAGTCAATATCCATCCATCCATCCATTTTTTTGAACCGCTTTGTCCTCTCAAGGGTCGCAGGGCCTGCTGGAGCCTATCCCAGCTGTCCTCGGGCAGTAGGCGGGGGACACCCTGAAATGGTTGCCAGCCAACTGCAGGACAAATTGACTCAATATTTTGCAGTAAAAATAAATAAATAAATAAATAAACAAACAAACAGGATGTAGGCACCCTTGGCCACGTGTTTGATAGGTACAAGGTATGCAACCACTTGCTTCATTGTATTCACTGTGATGGGTCAAATAAAGAGGGCGACATTCATGCACATGACAACAAAAAGATTATTCTTTTCTTCTTATATGAATAAAATTACAGACTACAGTAAGTGAATGTGGCCAAAAATAACCACGAGGTGAAACGGTAGTAAACTCAAACAAGGTTAAGTGATCTGACAAAGTGAGAACAAAATTTAAAACCCTCTCCCCAGAGAACAGTGAAGACATGTTAAACATATAAATAAAAAACAAAAAGAAAAAGAAAACAAATCCCGTTTCCATAACTATTGAGGTGAGCGCAGTGGAGGAAGAGCATTTCCATAGAACATGTACTCCCCACTGAAGTGATTGTTTTTCGGTGTCAGATGTCTGGCGTGGCCGTGCTGGGCTTCGGCGTGTTCCTGATGGTGAACTTCAAACTGACGGCACTCACACCTTCCCTGGCCAACTTTAATTTAGCCAACATGTTGCTGATCAGTGGCATCATCATCTCGTGTGTTTCCTTCCTGGGCTTCCTGGGAGCTCTGAAAGAGAACCGCTGCCTCCTACTGACGGTACGACACACATACTGTACGGAACTGTACTTTTTTTAAAATGAGCATTCAGATTTTTATATTGCGCACCGAACAATAGCGGTTGTCTTTCCGAATATCCTGTCGACATGCACTGTTTACAGAACGGTCGTCTCGACCAGTTCCCTGGGTTACATGTCACATTGTAAACTACGAAGTGTCGACTCAACTGTTATGAAACCAAAACAATGTGCTCCCATCGCTTTGCAAAGTTGTAAACCGATTGAAAATGACAGCAATGCGATTTTGGCTCATTATAACTACTAAAAATTAAAATTAAATTGTTTTTTTCTTTTTTTTTCCAGACTAGGTCGGTAACGTTTGGGCACCAGAAGATGGTAGTTTTTAGGCTAGCACGAGATTGGATAAAACACGTTGACCAGGAATCATTCTTATAGCTGACATCAAACAATTCTCTGAAAACAGGCCACAGATGAAGAACATCTCTGAATATTGCTATCATTATCATGAATGCTTTCTGGTCCCCGTTTTTTTTTTTCCACAGCAAGATCCAATCAATCAAGATCTACTATTTTGCTCTTGTTACATCTTTTTTTAAAGAATTAAAATTAGAATGTCTTGTGATTTGCGGAGGTTGAAAAAAGTAAAAAGCCTGTTTTGAATTTGACAGAGCAAGCATTCCAAAGTACAGAAAACTACTGTACTTCCAAAGGGAGAAAAGTTAAGAGGCTATTAGGGGGGGAAAAACAAAGTACATATACCTGGAAAATAAAATAAATACAGTCAAAGTATTGGTATTGCCCTTGTGACGCAAGTTCCTCATCATCAATAAGGGTAGGGCAATTAAAGCAAGTCAAGCAGAATTTGAACAGGTTATCCATCACAAATGTGGAATGTGATTCTTTAATGCAAATGGACGCAGTTGAAAGAGTGACATGAACATGCGTGTCTGTTTCTGCTGTCAGTTCTTCCTGATGCTCTTCTTCCTGCTGCTGGTGGAGCTGACTGCTGCGTGCTTGCTTCTCCTCTACGAACGAGACGTTAGGCCACACCCGGGACACATTCTGTTATCGTGTGCCATCCAAGTGTTATGCCAATAATCTACACTTCACCTCATCAGATTGACAAATGGGTGGAGCGTGATCTGAACGACGGTTTGAAGCAAGCAAAAGGGAAACATCCGGATGAGTACCGCAGTGAGTGGGATCTGGTCCAGAAAACGGTGAGACATGAACATGAGCAGACGAGACTTACAAGCTGTGTCAGAAAAGGCAACTCGTAGTTTGGGTTTGAAGTATCTTTTGTGACCCCAGTGCTGGAACCTTTCTGGCACACCGCATATCACAGTCATTCTCAAAATGTGGATCACATACCACTAGTTGTACACAGGCTTCTTCTCATCGGACACAGAACAATGACTTCCAACGTAGTTCAGCTTTATTTTATATTTGAACTTAAACACATTTGTATTTAATGATCAAGAACCATTTGGTTTAAACTTTTATGTTGGTAACATTTTTATTGTGTTGTCTTGTAACGTTTTGTTCCAGTTTGATTGTTGCGGGGTGCACAATGTGTCAGACTGGGGAGATAATGTGCCAGATTCCTGCTGCTTTCAAGACTGCATCGACTCACAGATGCGACAGTACAGATCAACTGTATGGGAGCTCAACACATTGCCATGTGACCAGTTCAGCATGACACTCGGTCCTTTTTTTTTCCAGTTCAGTTCAAATCGTCTGCTTTGGGTTTGCAGGGCTGTTTGGACAAGATAAGGAGCTGGTTTGAAGAAAATTTCCTCACCACTGGGATTTCTGTTATTGTCCTCTGCATTATTGAGGTAAACAAATTTTATACATACATACATACACACACACACACACAAATATATTAGATAGATATATAGATAGATAGGTGTGTATATCTGTGTGTGTATAAAATATAAAAAAAAAAAACAGTGCGAAAATCGCCGCACAGTAATTTTCCCCACAGAATTTTGAAAATAGACATACACAATTATATTCTGTACACTGTGTGTGTGTGTGTGTGTTTGTGTATATATATATATATATATATATTAATAAAAATACAGTACTGTATGTATTCCTGACATTTGACAATAAATTGTGGGGCAATCCTGTTACGATTACAGGAATGTATTTGTATGTTTACAAATTTGAAGGCAGATGGTGAAAGCTGAGTCAGCTAAAATTAAAAAGAAGAGTGGCATTTTGCTAAATGAAAACAGTAGAAACATAAACAAATGCTGACTGACAGCATGGCTTAAGTTAAACATGACTAAAACCTATAGCACGGATGACCATGTTCGTTTTTTTTTTTTTTGACAGGTCTTAGGGATGTGTTTTGCCATGACACTCTTCTGCCACATCAGCAGATCTGGACTGGGCTACATGTTGTAGAACAGAGAACAGCGTGTGTTTCCATTTAACAGTTTTCAATGTTTAGTTAGTTGCGTCCTTCCAAATACTCATGACTTGACTGAGCAAAACTGTTCATTAATGACATTTTCTAAATTGTGACTCATGACTTACACATGTAGCTTGGATTTTTCCCAGTTTAATCAATTCAGTGTCTTTGTTCACATTTCCATGTACGTACCGAAAATAAACCTCCAGTTTGTCTCCAAGCCCATTTTTCCAACTCTGTAATTAAGTCTTGCTACGTTTTATCACGGTGTGCGTGACGGGTCGTGGGGAAGAAAGGGCTGCCGAGTTCCAAATGCTGAAATGCAAGTTTTGTGCCCACGGTTTACCATGGATTGGGGTTGCCAGCTTTTATAAATGAAAATAATGGACACCCACCACAGCATCTCGGCCCACACAGGTACGCACCCGGTGTGATGGAGTGACCGTGTTATTTTTATTTGTGTCAAAATCTTTTTATCATCATAACAAATCGGTCATACATCAAACATATCGGTCTATCGTGGTGAAGAAAGAGCTGAGCCAACAGGTGAAGCTCTCTATTTCCCGGTCGATCTACGTTTCTACCCTTACTTGTGGTCACGAGCTATTGGTCGTGACCAAAAGAACGAGATCCCGGATGTAAGTGGACGAAATGAGTTTTCTCCGCAGGGTGTCTGGGCTCTCCCTTAGAGATAAGGTGAGCAGCTCGATCATCCGGGAGGAACTCAGACTCAAGCCGCTTCTCCTCCATGTCGAGAGGAGCCAGATGAGGTGGCTCGGGCATCTGATTAGGATGCCTCCTGAACACTTACCTGGTGAGGTTTTCCAGGCATGTCCGCCGGCAGGAGGCCCCGGGGGCAACCCAGGACCTCACTGGAGAGACTCTCTCTCTCAGCTGGCCACGGAACGCCTTGGGATCCTCCGGCAAGAGCTGAAAGAAGTGGCTGGGGAAAGAGAAGTCTGGTCTACCCTGCTAAAGCTGTTGCCCCTGCGACCAACCCCGGTAAGTGGTAGAAAATGGATGGATGGATGGATACTTCACCTTCTCATTGACTGCACTAAACTGTAATTTGATCAAATAATGCATTTTTGGTTTCAATGTTATCAGTTTGACACGCTCTCTTTAGAATTAGCTTGATAATTATCATCTCCACTGACGTTGTCTAAACCAAGGAGCAGCCTCTTCCCAGTCACGTCTATTTCTGCAAACATGGCGTCAAAAGCTGCAGTCAAATTTGGAAAGTGTTACTACAATCGCTGACCCGTCATTTCTATCAATTAATGCATCATACACACTGCACAGCGAGCTCAAACTCTCAAAGAGAAACTGTCTCCTCCCTCTCTCACACAAATATATTTCACATTAAGTGCTCAAAATAGGTGCGCCACAGCAGTCACTGAGGGTAAAGAAACCCATGGCTTCGTTTTTAGCGCGTTGGATACGGCATAGCTCCAAGTTGTGTTACACCACATTATGCATCATCAGATTTAGTTGCGTTAGTTCAGTTTTACGATAGCCAAGTAGGTTTCCAATCTGCTTGGTGACTGCTGTGGCATTATTATTGTTACTGGTATTATTATTATGTTGGACAATTTAAACTTCTCGCTGGATATCCCCAGCAACACTTTCCCCCTCCCGCATGTCACGACAATCCTGTTTTTTCCATGGAGGCTTGAAACAGGGATGCCGTGGCCGCCAGTAACTGGTTCACAGGTTTAAATATGCAATCACATCTCCCAAAAATAGAATAGAATAAAAGAAGTTCAAGTGACACAGATGAATTACTTTTATTTTAAGAAGCCTAAAAAGAAAAAAAAAACCTAAAGATTTCCAATACACTAAAATAATTTTGTTCTTTTTTTTAAACTATCACACAAAAATAGAAACAAGTATTTTTTTGTAATTAAAAAAAAAAACAATGAAAACAAAATGTAACTGTACACAGCAGAACATACCAATTATTGCAAACTGAACAGCCCTGGCACCCAAATAACTGAAAACAAGTATTGCAATTCACCTACAGATACGAAAAAAACTATTTTGATACAACCCTCCTGTTCTCCACTGTTGTGTTTTTCCTCTATGAATACGGACATAAAACAGTCCTGTACTGAATAAAAAAACCAGTTACATTTCATAGAAAACCAAAACTGACATTGTTATAGTAAAATATTGCTCAGCTTGCATTATGGACATTTTCAAAAGCAGCCGTTTGTATTCTTGCCATTGCTGAAAGACAAACTAAACACGATTACAGTATTTTAAAGTGATGCCGTTAACTAAATCAAGTGAAAAGTCACAGATAAACATGTTAGGATTGCTTCATTCTTAAGATGTTTGCAAGCAAATGCCCTGGCAAGAAACAGTTTTCAAATCAATCGCGGGAGCAGACAGTACCAATCACCTCCAGAAGCATTCCTGTTTGTTAAGGTTGCAAAGACTGATCGACATCACGTGTACACACGGGCTAAATTGTTGGTACCCTTCCATTAAAGTAATAAAGAGCCACAATGGTCAATAAAATATCTCAGTGAAATTAATATATGAAAAGCTGGCACTGCTTTGTGATGTTCAACCGTTTTTTTTTCCTTTTAAACAAGTGAATATGCAGCATTTTTTCCATTGTTTGTTTTAAACACTATGCTCTCTCTCTCCCCCCATATATACATCTACACACACACCGATACACATATACGGTGTGTGTGTGTGTGTGTATATATATATATATATATACACGCACGCACGCACACACACACACACACACACGCACACACACACACACGGGGTTAAAGCAAAAATAAATTCATTTAACTGAAAGCTTTTTAAATGGAATTAAAATGACTGCGGTCAATTAATCAAAAAATTGCTGTGTAGTACATACAGTAGACCGATTCTTTTTTAAAAAAATATTCAAAGTATGTATCTTGTCCAAACAAGGAGAGATTTTCAAACAAAATATAAAAGGACTAAAACTGATTCATGGAGACATTCAAGTAATCAGTGGGTGTCAATAAGATTTGTTTGTCAGTCACATTTTGTGCGTTTTTGATAACTTTTATTGGGTACAAGGCCCTCATTAATGGAACGATATTGATCCTAGAAATCAGCATTTAATGATATTTCAAGAATTGAAAATTTGAAGAGGACATTTACAATATGGTCCATATTTGTCTGTTGCCTCCCGATCTGGAGCACTTTAAGATGCAAAGTGCATCACAAATAAAATTCATTCTTGTTCTGGATAACTGTTTTCTGAAAGGGTACCAACAATACAGCTGACATGTGCATTTAGTTCACCTACAAATCTGAAAGCGCACAACAGCATTTGTAATGACGTTAATAAATAAAAGAAAGACAAAGTCTCTCCAAACCCTGGTTCAACAAATAACCATGTTCACACCACATCAAATGTCATTTCCCACCCACGACTGCCCCGTATACGTGGAATGAGTCACAACATAGGGTACCCAGCCCCTAATGTTAAAATAGTTCCAAATGGCTGCTCGAACGTCATCTCATTGTGCTGGAAGAAACACCCACTGCTACCTCTAGTTCTGCTCTCTTCCAGTATGACAAAGCTGAGCATTTTTACAGAAACGTCTGACACCGTTCGCAACAATTACATATTGGTATCTGCGGTGTCTGTTCAGCGATGAAATGTCACTGAAATGACAGAATTCATACCAATCGCCATCGAAACAACGGCTCTGTTCATCCTACTTTCACATTGCCCTGCAAGATGAAGAGCTTGTACATGTCACAACAAGAGGAAACGAGGGAAATTAAAGTGCAGGCTCCATGACTACACTCAAACGGCACCATGCTTTAGTCAAAGGTGTCTAACTCGAGACCTGGGGGCCACATCCAGCCCACCACATCATTTAATGTGCCCCACATCAACAAAGCAGGTGCATCTAACTTGATGTTTCTTGGTGGAATCTGTACCAAAATTGAAAACCGTCTTCACTTCGATAAAGTTGAGATACTGCAAGCAATTTTTGTGACCAAATTATTTTTTTCACCATCGATTATGTTGTGTCTATTTCAAACATGCTGAGGAGATTATACATTTATATGGTTTCACAGTCAAAACGGCCCTCTGAGGGAAATCATAACTGCAATGTGGCCCCCGACAAATCTGAGTTTCACACCTGTGTTTTAATGCATGCTGGGCCGATTGTATAGTGTTATTAGTATTGCTGTTCCAACACAAGTCATACAGGCTTTCTAGTTTGCTATGCTTACATCCAGGCGGATGCACTAAAGTTAAAACGCAGCATCCATAGCAATGTGGAAGGGGTGTTCAAGGACTGGGGGGGGGGGGGGGGCACATTGTGAAATGGCAGCTTTAAATTTTAGTTAAATGTCAGAAATGTGCCCAATGACCCCTTCCACTGTCACTGTGACTGGGTCGGAAATCCTGGGGACGTTTGGGCAGGAACAAGGTGGGCGGAATATCGGCCACATGAAAAGGAGTTTCAGAAGTACATTTTGTGAATTTGTGAACACTTCACTTAGACCCCGGCAATCTCTGAGCATCATTGTGGCAAGGCGTACCTTTACACAATGATTTCCTCTCCAGTTATTACTTTTTAGGATGCCCAATTCTCAAGCGCAAGTCGTTTGGGGGAAAAAACAAGACTAATTGAGGAAGCAGAAGACCCAGCCGCCCTTTCCCAGTGACTTCTCAAGCATTTTCAGTTAATGCCAGTTTGGTTTCACAAGTCACTCCTGTGTTATACATTCAGTTAAGATATTACCGTTTCATTGATGGATGACCTGATTCATGTACACTTGACACAAATTTGTTAACCCCAACATTTATCATACTGTCGTTTTCCAGGCTACTAAACAGTACGTGTTTGGAGGTATTTTAAGTCTGCACAGCGCTAACACGATCAATCACTCGAGGCTTCTTATTTTAGGACTTCACAGAGCTGCCAACCTACCGGTATAGAAATTAATAATTTGTCTAAATTTCCCTATTTTCAAAATTCTGTGTAGAAAATTACTGTACGGCGGTTATCGCACTGTTCTTTATACTTTACACACACACACACACACACACATATACATACACACATTATATACACAATATATACACACACACACATTATATATGTATATATATACACACACACATAAATATACATATATGTATATACACACACACATTATATTATATATATATATATATATATATACATATATAATGTGTGTGTGTGTGTGTGCGCTCGCAATTTTACTTAATTCAAAGAATAAATCAATCACAAAATTATTAAAATATTTACTTTAACACTGACATTCCAACAATGTACACACTAGGGTGGTCCATTTTGGAAAAGTTTGTCGGATTCGTCGGGCCGGGTCGGAAATCTTGTCGATACTATGACACAAGGATGTGTGCAAAATTTTATTCCGATCGGATAATTTTATCCCGTCCCGCAGAGCGACCAAAGTTTCCCCTATGGAAAGAATGTTACGGGGCTGAATGGTAGTACGGTTTCTCCCGTACAGTAAGGATTTTGTTTTGCTCAGTTCGCACTTGCAATAATTCAAAGACGGAAGACAGGAACGCATGTATTGCAAAAAAGGCAACCGTGGTTATCCTTCAACACTGGTGAGATTGTTGGTCCATGTTAACTGGTCCATCTGTCTATCTGTCCATCTGTCTATAATGCGCGACTGTCTGGAAGTGATCCGATCCGTTTTGCATTTTTTTCAGGCCGGGAGTGGTGC